AAACACTTAGAAGCCATTCCATCTCCTCAAGTTCCTTTGGCCGTGATCTCACACTTTTGCTAACACTCAAGGTTTTTCCAGCAATACAGCTTGCTTTAATCTTTACTGCATTGTCTCTAATGGTGCGTAAAGTAGACTCCTTTATTCCCGTTGCACGCACAATGTCACATGTTCTTTCCTTATTTTCAAAATGCTTGACAACATCGAGCTTTTCTTCAAGTGTTATAGCCTTTCTTTTACGATCACCACCGGAAATGCGATCACCAGAATGCTTCCCGGAGATATTCTTCTTTTCCATAGTCACAAAATTGGAGAAACAGTAATCAGAAATCACTGAGGACGCTTAAAAACTTCACACGTGTTTCAGACTGATCGTGTGGTGTAAACAGAGCGCGCGGGTCTAAAACGCTACGTATTTTGTTTTTCTCTCTTAATTAAAATTTTACAATTTACATATACTGTACAGGTATACAGTACTGTATACATAAATATTACGTAAATTATTTCTGCTTTCTTCACAAACAAAACACATAAATCATTTGAACATGTGATGTCAAACGTGAACTGTAAACACTGTGTGTGATGTAAACAGAGTGTGGGTGTAAAACATTACGTAATTTGTTTTTCTCTTTTATTTAAAATTTTACAATTTACATATACTGTACAGGTATCTGTATACATAAATATTACGTAAATTACAGTACTTCTACAATTCTTCACAAACAAAACACATAACTCAATTGAACATGTGATGTCGAACGTGAACTGTAAACACTGCATAACCCCGCGCCAAGCCACAACAACCGTTCCAGTGGAATCGTGTTAGAGCAAACGCGTTCGCGTTTTACAAATATTGTTCCTCTATTCATAAATCGCGTTAGAGCCAATTCGCGTTGTCAAAACACGCGTTATAGCAGAACTCACTGTAATACGGTTTAATATCAAGAGATTTTCAGGAAACTTTTTGAATATACGTACGTATATACAGTATTTATGAAAAAATAAAAATAATGATGGACCATCCAAATTCTTGCAATTTATAAATCAATTAATTTCTAGTTTCCATTCATTTTCATTAAAGCATTTTGTAAATTTCAAGAAAAAGGCCCTAACTACTAATAGTACCAATACAGCGTTATAGACCAACACACACACCCTCCAACATTTTTTATACTGTATTATATATTCTCATATGATCAGCCACTTCTGGTGTATGTTTTATCATTGATAATATAAAATATTAAATACTGTGCTATAACAGCTTGCTAAAATCACACAGGAAAATGGGAAACAATGGAGCACCTTAGTTTTCATCTTTATTCAAGACATATTCAGAGGCAACTGAATTACTAGGACTGAGACTGAGAGAGGCTTATGTACACAGGGTGACCTTACAAAACATGAGGTCAGGTCAAACCCATGACATCCACTAACCCTCACACCACCACCATCGCAAACATAAGAGGAGCTTATTAGAATGGGCGATGTAACTAGTCATGTCAAGTCAGGTAAAAAATATGAGACCCACTAATCATCTATCCTACATCTACCTCAAATGCTTTCAAAGCATTTTTAACCTTGGGCCACTGGCAAATAAATTTGTGTAACATATTATCAGTTTTGTACTTACCATCACTAAGGTTTATAGAATTCCTTTCCCTAATCAAACTTGCTTCAACCAGAAGTCTTTCTGTGACACATGATGATTTATACACTTCTAAACTGTTTTCCCAATCTATGGGATAATTATTGTTCCTTATATGAACTGTGCTATAACATGTGTAGAAAAATTACGAAATATTGCATCATGGAGGTTTGGGGAGGGAGGGAACTGACCTCTCACCCTCCAAAAAGGTTCCTGCCTCTCCATGTCTGCTTATTCCCATTGTAAAATGTTTTACTTTAATTTTTTTACTATTAATTAATAAAGATATGTTTACTGTAATAATTTGGGTTTAATGTGTTTAATATTTTATATTAATCATGATAAAACATACACCATAAGAGGGTCATCATTGGTGAAAAGGGGAGTGCCAGCCTTCTTGCTTCCCTGACCCCCCCCCCTCCCCCTGCGTACTCCCTGCCTCCGTCCAACTCAGTATCTCACACAAAAGACTGTAAACTAGATGTTGTGTTTGTGTATGATGTGGTGTTGGGGTATTAGTTAATGAATAATAAATAAACAACATTGTGTTGTTAATGACTAATGACAGTACAGTAGTTTGATGAATAGTAGTGACAATTGTAGTACGCTGCTATTCATCAAACAACTGTCATTGAAGATACAATTTTGCTTATTTATTAATTAATACCACAACATCACACCCAGACACACTAACACCACCCACACACCCCTATATTGTATGACATAAATTTATGTGCGGTTAACTACATGGTGGTGAATTAAAAGATCAGCTGTTGAGGAGCTTAGCGTTTGGCAACACTGGTGCATGTTACCACTCCATCTCTCCAATCACCCACTCCTCATTTTAAAATATTATGTAACATAATGTTGAAGGGATATAATGCGATAAGTGTAAATATAAAAAATACTGTATTTTAGCTTTCATGTGTATTCAAGACATCTTCAGGTCCTCAGACTCATTAATCCCCCACCTGACAATGGGTGACCTGACATTGTATCAGAAGTTCAGTATTATGAGATCACTAATACCCCACCCTACCTCCACCTGACATTGTGTCAGGTCAAGTTAGTTACACATGATCCACGAATCCCCCACTGCTCCAAAGGAGTGGAAAATACCAGTCCTTGATGTAACACAACTTCATTCGCAACCATATCATATAGATTTTTAGTTTAGACTCTTGGAAAACTCCCCAGCACGCAGAAGCATTCTGAGGATGTGGGCTAGTGTTTGTCTGTGCATGATGCATAGTTTAGACGCTCGGAAAGTTTTTTCCAGTAACCGGAAATATATCCGGGGCTGTGGAATTGTTCCGGGCTTGGGAAAGTCGTCTGGTTAACCGGAAATCTCTCATCCCCGGAAGTGCTCTGCACAAATTGTTCCAGCTAACGGGGATATCACTGTATATCAACAATAAAATTTTGTCTTATTTATCCAATGTGGGTTTTTCCTTCATTTACCAGTGTGTCCATTACACTTTTGGAATATCATCTACATATTATCAACTCACCTCACAATGTAGGTGTGGCATTTATTTATTAGTGTATTATTTACTTTATTATCACTGTATGTATATTTTAAAACAAATTTATATTTGCACATTAGTTGTAAATGGAATATTTTATGTGGCAACCAAGGCATGGTAACTGATTATGTTTGTTGGTTGGAATAATGAGGAACACTCATTGTAATGATCCGAATAAGGTGCAGAAACTGAACAGAAATTTAACACAAAAATTTAAAAATTTTCAAATACAGTAATGTTAAAATATTCTGAACTTATTAATAAGGATTTTTTGGTAATTCGAATGACCCAGAGCCCATTTCTTGTTGAATTAAGGAGGGTATACAGTAGTGTATATGTATATATAAACACACTAGCCTACACTACAGTACATTGCTTACGGTCTGTGTTCAGCACGGGATGCTCTTAGATGCCTGTATCAGCAACTCGGCATCTTCCGATGCTTAAAAAAATAGCATAAATTTTTTTTCATGAAAGAGGTTTTTGTTCATATACTGAAGTGCAGGAAAGAATTTTTTTTCTTTGTGCTAGTGAATTTTCATGAATCAAGGTTTCATAAATCAAAGCACTCCTGTATTTTTTTGAAGTTGAAAGAATGGGTTCTGAATTATAAAAAATAGCAGTAAAATGTTGGTAAGTTCCTGATCATCTTGATGAATAATGTTAGATGATATAAAGAGCCAAATGTAAAGTTTGTTGAAAGGTATGAAGTTGCAATCTTTATTGTGTGGGGAACAAAACATGGATATATAATAACGTTGATTTAGTGAATAAAAGGAGAACTAGATTTGAATGTTTAATCATAACATTAGAATGTAGGAGAAATGAAGATTTTTGTGTAAAAGGGCAAAAAAGAAGTTATTAACTGATGGGTTAAGCTATGAGATGGTCAGCGCATGGTGGAAAGTATAATTAGAGAGCATACATGGGTGATGACAGGATAGAAGATAAATTAAGTGAATATATGAAGTGATAAAGTATGAATTGAAGGATGACAAGACGAGGCAGGAATTGGCAGAGAAATTAAAAGGATGGATGGGATGATGTAGCATAAAGGTTAAAGGGAGGAATTATGAGGCGGGTTAGGACAAAGTGAGAGATAATTGAATGGATTGAATTACATAGGCAGAGGGATGGAGGCGTAGCTACAGACAGGGATAGAGAGAAGTGGATGAATGAATGCAGTTAGGCACAGCTGTATGAATTTCAAGAGCTAATGCTAGGAAAATGTGATGGAGATTGTCTAGGCTAATCAGTCACTCCGTGGAAATAAACATCCTTTATAACATTAGAAAAGGCATGGGTAAAATATCATACTTGAAATTTTGTGTATACTAATTTGAAGTATAAAAGTTATAATTGATAATACCCCTGTACTGTACTGTACTGTATATGTTTTGGCTGGGGAAGTTAGATTGCTCAGTTATGTGTCAGTGTGTTAGAGAAATGCTGTGACAAAACTGTCTTGATAATATTTAACTTAATATATCTTCCTCTGACTGATATGTTAATTTGATAAGCTTTTGATAATAATGTACCATCAACAGTGAAAAAATATAAGGAAAAAATGTCTTAACTAGCATTTGGGAAGAGTAATAAGCATTACAGGAAAGATGTGAATGGTAGGAATAGAAAAAGTGCTCATTAAATTTAGGGAAACATAAATTTTGATGTTGAAAATATATGTAAATTAACATTAAATTTAGCATGGATTTATTGTTCTACAATGAATTTTTACGAGAAATGGCAGTATCAAAGAAAAGATCATGTACAGGTATATTGGAATATTGGTAATTAGATAATGGCATTAATGGTTAACCTCCAACTAGCCTCGTGTGCCTCCACGCCAGATAAACTCGGATGGAAAGATCAAGATCAGATACCTAACATTACAGAAGGTAAAATATTTTGTGCATGACTGCTCTCTGCCTGATATCTATGCCTCAGCTCAGACTGCTGTACACTGTAGTCCAGGTCTATTCTTGCTTGACCTCATTACAGATTCAGCTACTCTATTATGTCTTAGAGTTTATGATACTGTATATCAATGTATTTATTAATATCATTGTTTGTCATATACTTCATAAAAAAAAAAATCTTTCAAAACCATTTCATAATACTTGTGGGAAGGAGGGTTTATCATATGTGTTTTGTAATTACTGTACTACTATGAATTTATTCACTCAAATTCCAGATGTTCAGGTGCATAATTCATTTGGAAATTATATGTCATTAACATTTGGTATGTGTAAGCCATTATTACCATAAATTTACTTTATTAACCCCCAGGCAAATATGGTAGACATTGCAATGACTTTAATTATGTTGATTTTAAGTTTTCCATGTTTATTTATTTCCAGATGTAGTATACCAGTACTGTATTTTATTCCTATTTTTAAAATCATGTAGAGGTTTGTTAATTATTTTTTCCATGCTGTAGGAAAAAATATGTACATTATACAGTATGTGTATTTAGTTTTTAATATTCGAGTCTGGATAACAAACAAACACACACACACATTTTCATTTCACTCACATTGATCCAGTGCACATTACACAACTCCTTCACGACTGAACATACACTCACATATTTGTCCCTTTGTTTTACAGAGTATATATATCTCAAAATGATGTACTCACACACACTGCCTTACAGATTTTCATGGCAATTGCATGAAAGATTGCATTTAGGGTTGTTTGAATTTAATCATTATTGAAATCCGAATATTTTTTTTATCATTTATATCAATATTTTTTTTTTTGCTAAATGTAAAGGAAGGAAGTAAAAACTATATAATTGCTTATATGTTGTATTGTTATAAATTATTCAGTCAAAGAAACATAGAATCTTATGCCTTTATCACAGTAGCCTACAGAATTAAGCACAAGATACCTTCACTTTCACAATGCTCACTATTCAGTATTCTCACAACAGAAATTACAATAATTGTTTTGTAACTGAAACAACATACACAAGTTTAAGAAAAGTAACATATTTTTGCTTATCCTACATGTTTTATTGTACAGGCTTACCCTGATAACCTACGCATATAGGGACCGGGAAAAGTCGTTGGTTAGTGAATCAACAATTAACTATCGAAACAATTAATCCCATAAAAATATAAAAAATTCATGAGATTAGGGACTGTCCACTCCCCAAAAACTTTGTCGTGCACATTGTCAAGTAAGAAAATAAAACAGACATAAAGCAAGCATAATGAGCCTTAAATAAGCAATGCAAAACATAAATTGAGACTTATTTACCTGTGTTGAGGATGGTACAGACAGCCAAGGGTGGCAAGTTCAAGTTTATACCAATCTTTGCTGGTCCATCACCACTCTTATTATGCTTTATCACATCACATCAAGCTGCCCCTTAGGGGTGCAGCACAAGAGGAACTATCACTGGAGCATTTAGGCATGATTGCATAACACACAAAGTCGGAAATAACGAAAAAACTTGTAGTCAGAGACTCCTGGTAAATGTAAACAAGACCACAGAGGTGGGAATGAGTCAGAGACAGCACACAGAGCCCTTTCATGGCAAAAATTCACACCATGCCACTGCTCGCCAAATTCAAAACAGTTTTGCCGCATCTCTCCCAAACGTTGGATCTCCCGGGTATCGACAAAACTGCGAGGTATTTTCCCTATATGTAATTGTTGGTTATGTGAGTCAGCAGTTATTGGGGCATCAGTTTTCAGGGTATACCTGTACTGAACCTCTATTTAAACATATGGATTGTAGTTAAGTATTAAAGGCACTAATAACTTGTTTTAGACTTACTTCAGAGTTGCAAATAGAAAAACAAAGCAAAACCAACAAAATCACAACACTTGGATACAACATGACATTTAATATTTATACAAATCAAACTCTAATGTTTCCTAGTCTTTGCTAAGTCACACAATGCAAACAATAAGTTCTAATTTTATTGAGCATCTTTGTAACCATGACCAGTGTCTGCATTTAAAGACTTAAAAAGAAAGAAAGGTTTTGCTGCTTTTGCTGGACCAAGGTGGTTCCTTTGTTTTGAATGAACAAGTGTATAGGAGGAGAAGACTAGGAATAGTTGTACGTCAACCAAGGAGAAAATCTGATTTAAAAATTTACAAATTTTTATTGAAATAAATAAAATCCTATTTAAATCAAATAAATCATTTTTATTTGTGTAAAATTTTAAAATATCAGCATCTCTGATTGCATTACAACTTCAACATTGTTCTCATTTGTTGATGTGTGAAATCTTCCACAATATCATGGGAGACCTCATATCAGTGTTCACACAAGAGATGCTGGATAACATGCCTGTACCAAGGACAGTAGTTCTCAAAATTTTTCTCACTTTGCATTACCAAGCAAGTTTACAGGAACACCAGGCATATGAAATCTTTTCCTTTAGTTAACCTTTTTAGTTCTCAGATTTACTTAGATTTTAGTAAGTTAATTCCAGAATTATGAAATTTTTTTAATTGTGTTAAAAATTAATCCAAACTGGAAACTTATTTTGAAATTGTGTAAAATGCATAAGATTTTCTGAATATCTTCAAAATTATTCACCTGCAGCAAATGTAGCTGAGTAAGGTTAGCTTACCATGCTAGCTTTAAAGCCATTGACCCCTTAGAAAACACTCTCTGGACCCCTGGGGGTCCATGGACCCCTGATTGGGAAACTTTGACCTAGGAGGGTGTATACCTCAGGTTGAAAGTGAATTAAGAGAGATAGCAATCACATACTACATCCTCAGAGTGAAAGGAACACAGACCAAGGTGAAAAAAAAGGTAGAATATGAGATGTGCACTCCACTAAGATTCTTATTCAAGAAATCCATGGATCAAGGAAAAGTACAGTACTCGCTTAACGTCGGGGTTAAGTTCCTGAAAACGCGACGTTGAGCGAAACAATGTTAAGTGGATCAATTTTCCCCATAAGAAATAGATAAAATACGGGAGTTACGTTCCAGAGCCTCCCTTTGCCCCATGAAAAAAGTTACATATACAGAAAATCATTGCCATTTCTATAGAAAACAGTATATAGAACTACAGTACTAAGTTTGTATTGGTACTCACTGACAGGCGGAGATGGTAGATTGAGTGTGTGGTGGGTAGTGGAGCGAAGGAGGAGGATGACGGGAGCGGAGGAGGAGGAAGGGCGGGAGAGGAGGGTGGTGAGTCACTGAGACTCTGCGGCTGCCTCCCCCTCCTCCTGTTCTGACTAGGGTTCCTCCTCCGTTGTTGTTTGCTCCTCCTCGACTGCCGGCTGTTGTGAAGAGTCTTCTGCTGTCCCGCGACGAAAAAATTAATCCAGTGTTGGCTGCTTGGTGCTACTTATCTTCTTCTTATAGATCTCGATGTAGCAACCAAGACTGTCCTCAATGCTGCGTTGAACCTTTGAGTTACGTTCTCTGTTTGGGTCGTCATCTAGAAGCATTTGCATTGCTTGCTGGAACATGTTGAACGATTCTGCCAACCTCTTGGCAGTTAGCGTTCGTTGAGGTTCTTCTTCATCGTCGTCGTCTTCAAGGGGACTGTATTCTGTTAGTTGTTGCAGATCTTTGTTGGTAAGCTCTTCTGTATGGGATACCAGGACATCTTCAGTATCCTCTGATTCCAGCTCATCAAAGCATGCCTGTCTAGCCAAGCTGTGGATATCCCTATTTACAGCTGGGACGAAGTCCGTGAATCCCGTAAAACTGTTGATGCATTCTGGCCACAGTTTACACCACACACCATTCAGGCAACTTTCTGAAACCTCTTCCCATGCCTTGCCAATGTTTTCAGTTGCATGAAGAATGTTGAAACCGCGCCAATATTCTCGGATTGTTGGTTTATTTTCTCCGTCTGTAGCCTTGAGCAGCTGGGCCATGGTATGGCATAAATAATACGCCTTGAATGCGGCGATGACGCCTTGGTCCATAGGCTGCATCAGTGTTGTCCTGTTGGAAGGCAGGAATACAACTTTTAAACTGTCATGCAAGTCGTCGAGATTGGGAGGATGAGCTGCAGCATTGTCAAGGATCAGAAGAATTTTGAAGTTAAGGTTCTCCTTGGCACAATATTCCTTCAGTGCAGGGATGGGGTACACGTTTTACCACTGGCTAAATATGGTTCTGGTTATCCATGCCTTTTTGTTTGCCTTGCAAATGACAGGAAGGTGATCCTTAGAGTAACCTTTCAGGGCCCGTAGGATGGCAGCGCGAGATATCGGCATAGGCTTCAGCATGAAGTCACCGACAGCGTTCGCGCCAAGCAGCAGCGTCAAGCGGTCTGTTGCTGCTTTAAAACCTGGCGCTCTTTTTCTCCTCCTGGAGATATAGGTTTTCTCAGGCATCCTCTTCCAAAAGAGACCAGTCTCGTCCACATTGCAGACTTGCTTCGGTGAGTAGCCTCCTTGCTGGTTAATCCGTTTGAATTCTGGCGGGAATGTCTCGGCTTCAACCATATCTGAACTGGCAGCTTTACCAGTCATCTTAATATTGTGGAAGTTATAATGATGCTTAAATCGTTGAAACTATCCTCGGCTGGCCGTAAAGATCTCTTTCTTCGATCCTTCACCCTCTTCTGCCTTTTAAGTTGTCGAACAGTGATCTGGCCTTATGCTGGATAACCATAAGGCTCACAGGGGCATTGCGTTGATTCTGGTCCTCCATCCACTTTGCCAGCATCTTTTCCACCTCCTCTATCACAGTGCTTCTAGTATGAGTCGTCTTAGTAGCACTCGGAGAAGAACCACTTCCAGCACTAACCTTAATCTTGTCAGCGTTGGTCCGGATAGTACACACTGTTGTGGGGGTTAGACCAAGCACAGCGGCTATGTCCACAGCACGTTCCCCTTTTTCAAATCAGGTTAATACATCCATTTTCGTAGCAGGGGTAATGGTCTTATGTTGCCCCTTC